ATTATTACTAAAGCTGGAAAAGAAGTGGGAAAGCACTAAAAACTTATTTAGTTATTTAGAGCTAGTAAGCTTTGATGCCTCTCACACACTGCTTAGCAGCCCTGCATCACCCTGCCGTATTCTTTTACTCACAGAGCTGAAGAATCTATTATTATTTCTTTTAAAACTCTCCAAGGTTTAACTTGGCAGAGTTTTGGGCAAATCTCATTTTATCTTTATGATTTCAGATCCCCCTGGCACAGATTTCCTTGCAGATGAATCCTAGCCTCTGTTCTTCACATTCCCAGGAGCCTCCTTTGGATGCTCACATCTGGATTCCCCACCTGCAAGGTCTCTGGAACACAAGTCTGAGCTGGGTTTTGTCGCCTTGATTTAGGATATTGACTCAAAATGCCAACTCTATTTCAGCTCACTGAAGACAGTCAACTCCATTCACTCCACTCGACTTTTCTTCTTAATCCAAAAAGAAGACCCAGACTTTACCCACACTCACGAAGTGTCTTTCACGTCCTTGGAGGGCAGCTGGAAGGTACGCGTTTCGGTGCGGTCTTTGCTGCGGTCTGGGCAGGGCGCCCAGCGCCAGCTCGGTGCTCCCCCGCGGCTGCTCTGCCACCTTCTCGCCCGCAGCAGCCGCTGCACCCCGGGACCCGCCGGGCTCCAGTGCTCGGGAGCCTGCGCTCGCATTCCAGCTTTATCTTCCTGCCGACCATCAGTTCCACGGGCAGGGAAGACACAGGCTCTTCCTAAAACACAGTTTTACCACTGCTTTCATCTGCCCAGGTTCCCTCAGGCAACAACCTGTCAACATCCACCTGATTTTCCTCTTCCTGGACCCCAGTTCCCAGCACGGGTTACTCCTCCTGTGCCAGTCGCCACCCGTCGCTCCTTCGCTCGAAGCCCCCGCGCTCTGAGAGCCGCTGTTCGGGCAGCCCCCTTTGCAGGGGCACCGGCAGCACCGGGTAAAAGGCCGGCAGCGGCAGCGGCAGCACCAATGTGGCCAGGCCAGCAGGAACCTCGGACCACGCGTCCCTCCCTCCGTCCTGGGCAGCTGGAGCTCCTGGGGCCTGCGACAGGCAGGGGACGCAACGCGCTCCCCCTGCATCCCGGCCTGGCAGGGGGACACACACTGGAGCCACCTTCGGAGGAGCAGTCAGCTCGTCTAAGAGCTGACTCAGAGAGCTACAAAGATGATGAAGGGACTGGGACATCTCTCCTATGAGGAGAGACTGCGGGAGTTGGGCCTGTTCAGCCTGGAGAAGAGAAGGCTGAGGGGATCTCATTAACATGGACAAACACAGGAAGGGAGATTGCAGGGAGGAGGGGGCCGAGCTCTTCTCAGTGGTGGCCAGTGACAGGACAAGGGGAAATGGCCATAAGTTGCTAAACAGGCAGTTCCATCTCCAGGTGAGGAGGAACTTCTTCACTGTGAGGGTGCCAGAGCCCTGGCCCAGGCTGCCCAGGGAGGTTGTGGAGTCTCCTTCTCTGGAGGTCTTCCAAACCCGCCTGGATGCCGCCTGTGCCCCGTGCTCTAGGTGTGCCTGCTGGAGCAGCAAGGTTGGACTAGATGATCTCCAGAGGTGCCTTCCAACCTTTAAGATTCTGTGATTCTGCAAGCAGCTCAGACCTGCCCCTGGCACAGGCCTGTCCAGGACACCAGATGGAAACGGAGGAGGGTGCTGTATGGGCAGCTCAGGGAACAAACTGCAGAAGAGATCTGGGCCGGCAACATCCACGTGGCTCTTTCAGCAAGGCAGGGACCGTGTGCTGGTGCTGTGGATGGAGGTCACCATGTGTGACCAAGCTCAGGGCCAGCTGCCAGTGGTGGCCGCAGCAAAGTGAGGAAAGCCTGCCCAACAGCCAAGCTCTGGTCCCCAGCGCCTGCCCCATTTCATCTACTAGCACAGGGATGTAACTGCCCGGCATCTCATCCCTGACCTGCATCTGATGACACTGCAAGGACTCTGCGAACCCAAACTAACGTCCAAACATCCTACAGACATCAGTTCATTGGAATGTGACCCCATTGTTACAGCCTTCTCAGCCAGGCAGTGATTGGGATGGAAATTTGCACCTGGCTTTACGGGCAGAAGCTCCCTGAAGGCTGAGGGGGATGAGGAGCAGGTGTCCACATGGGTGTCCTCACCGGAGCAGGTGTCCACACACGTGTCCTCACTGGAGTGGGTGTCCACACAGGTGTCCTGACCAGACTGGGTGTCCGCACAGATGCCCTCACCAGAGGAGGTGTCCACACACATGTCCTCACTGGAGCAAGTGCCCACACAGGGTCGGCCCCGGAGACAGGAGCCTGGCGCTTCTCATTAGGACCCGGGGCAAAAAAACAAAGTATGGGCATAAAAGAGTCGGGACAGAGTTCCTGGCAGATATTTGGATCCAGTCTGTTCAGTAAGATGAGGACACTGGCAGTGAAAGGCAGAACTTTGAGCAACCCGTGCCACCAATCATCCTCAAAACATCACTCCTGAAACCCTCACCCTGGCACATGCCTTCTCTGAATTCCAATGAGGAGGACAGGAGCTTCCCGATCTGCTCTCGCCCTTGTCCCGGCCGTGCTCAGCCTGCCCAACACGAGCGCGGTCAAGACAACCGCCGCGCTGCTCGACCTCTCCAGCAAGTCCCACATTCCTGGCCGTGCTCCCCATCCCAAAGGCCTCCTGTTGGTGCAGAGTGCTCGGCCACGAGGCTGCTCCGGCCTCGGCCCACAGCGGCCTCCCCTTCCACGTGCGGGGCGAGCGGCACCATCGTGGCCACGCACCTGAACTGTCACCTGCGTGTGAGGGTGACTTGTCCAAAGCACCCACTGCAAACGACCTGGAGCCCGAAACGTGCCCAAGCTTCATCTGCAAAGGGGATTTGGCAGAGGCCGCAGCAGGAGCGCCCGGGACCAAGCTACCGGCCCTGCAGCCGGGTGGCCCTGCAGGCGCCGGCGCGTCAGCCGCGGTGCCCCGGCACCCGCCTTGTGCCCGGGTCCACCGCACACGGCTTCAGCTTAGCCCACACACATGCCATTCTCCAAGGAGGACAGCACACAGCAAGCACCAACGCCTAAACGAGCAAGGGCTCGTTAGCTGGGGACACCAATTAGTTGATTTAGCAGGACAACAGGACAGCGCAAAGGGCCACGGCACATGGCAAGGGCTCCAGAAAGCAGCTCCAGAGGCAGCACCAGAGGAAGGAACCGGGAGCTCCCCAGTGGAAGTTTCGGCTCCTCAGGCCCAGGCGCCTCTCAGGAAGGAGGAAGGTCCATCCCCTCTGTCCCAGTCTGTCTGGCATTGGCAGTTCCTCCTCCGGGCACCAGAGGCACCTGTCTCATCTCAGCCCCACCGTGGGCAGCTTCCACAGCACGTGCCGGTTCCACAGCACGGGCAGCTTCCACAGCACGTGCCTGTTCCACAGCACGGGCAGCTTCCACAGCACGTGCCTGTTCCACAGCAAGTGCCTGTTCCACACCACGGGCAGCTTCCACAGCATGGGCAGCTTCCACAGCACGTGCCTGTTCCACAGCACGTGCCTGTTCCACAGCACGGGCCTGTTCCACAGCACGGGCCGGTTCCACACCACGGGCAGCTTCCACAGCACGGGCAGCTTCCACACCACGGGCAGCTTCCACAGCACGGGCCGGTTCCACAGCACGTGCCGGTTCCACAGCACGGGCCGGTTCCACAGCACAGGCAGGTTCCACAGCACGGGCAGCTTCCACAGCACATGCCGGTTCCACAGCACGTGCCGGTTCCACAGCACGGGCCGGTTCCACAGCACGTGCCAGTTCCACAGCACGGGCAGCTTCCACAGCACAGGCCTGTTCCACAGCACGGGCAGCTTCCACAGCATGGGCCGGTTCCACAGCACGTGCCAGTTCCACAGCACGTGCCGGTTCCACAGCACGGGCCGGTTCCACAGCACGTGCCAGTTCCACAGCACACGGCAGGTGCCCCAGCGTTAGAGGAAAGGAGAGGCTTTGCAAGGGCGGACAGGCACCCGGGGACTCTTTAAGAATTGCTGCAGAGTGTAACTGGGAATTGCATTGTATTGATTTTTTTGCTTCCGCAAGTTTGTTTCCAGGCTTATAATCAAATTCTTTCACATAGCAGAATCCACCTGTGCGAATCCAGTCTAATGCTAACGCTGGAATGCAAACGTGCTCATCCCTGCCAAGCGTGCTCCACCAAACCTGGCAAATCAGGGCCACTTTTGCGCTCTCCTAAATCCTACGTTTATATAACAAACAACAGAAAGATGTTCTCTTTATTTGCTTGAGAGCTGGGCAGATCCAGGAATCCCAGCAGTTTTTCCCACTCAGTTCTTTCAGCTGGGGAGGGAAACCTGCCCAGGCAGGTGGCACTGGCAGGAGACCAGCTGTGGTGACGCCCCCACATGTGCCGGTGTCCCCGCGACGTCACGGGGACTCTGGCAACCCTGCACACCTGGCCCTGGCCACGAGCAGCTCCTCCTGGCACGGCTGTCTGAGGGTTGTCTCAGGGTTGTCTCAGGGTTGTCTCAGGGTTGCTGTCCCTCACGTTATGGCTTTGCTGCCACCGGGCGAGGGTCAGGACTACCAGCACTGAGTCAGGGTCATTTTTAATATTTTATGTCAAACTTGAATAAATACAAGCAAATCACTCGGTTCCTGCTCCTATTCTCTCTGAAGGCTCCTGGAGTGTCTGATCAACAGCAATCCCCCTCTCTTGCTCCATCACCGTCACCTGCTAAAGACCCAATGCCACTGGGAAACACCTCAGGAGTGTCTCATGATGACTCCTCTCGGGGCAATACCACACACTTACCATGATCAGTACATCTACTGATGGATATTAATGCAAACGGTAAAATAACTGTGAAACAAACACCTTGAGCAAACATCAGACGTACCCACCACCCCGTGCCCAACAACGGGCAAGCTCAGAGACTGCTACAGATCTAAAATTCTGTGTTTGCGTTCGGTGTCCTCGGAGAGAGCCGGGAATCGAGGAAGGAGCGCTTACCTTGCCGTGGATCGTACTGCCGCATCTGCACCTCCTCCACACATTCCGCCGGGAACCAGCCGGTCCTGCCTTTCACGGTCCCTTCCCAAAAGCCGCCTTCGCCGATACTCAGCACTGCGGAAAGAGAGAGACACAACGACGGATGATGGAGATTCCCAGGAAAGGGAGGCCAGATGCCACCACAAGGGCAGCGCAAGCACAGACGAGCGGAGCACAGGAGTCCTGCCTGGGACATGCGTGGTCTGAAGGAGGAGAGCACCTTGAAAAGCCTTGGGAAGAATCCTTCCTTCTTCCCACGCCATGGAGGCAGAAGGTGCAGCTGCCCTCTCGTGCTTTCCCAGGACCTGTCTTCATGCCACCACGTGTCGGGAACACCAAACACCCAATCGATCGCATTTGGACAGAGAGGACGAGTCTGGCTAAGGCCACAGAACAAGTCACTATGAGAACAGCCCGTGTTCGACCTGAAAGGAAGGGCTGATTCACCCCAGGTGATCCACCAAGCATGAAGGTTCTGCAGCATCACAGCAAAGTTCTCCCAACCCATTAAGCCTTATTTTTACTTGCTCACAGCTTGGGAAAACAGGGATGAAGGTTTGAAAAGTGTCCTGAGAATTAAATGAATCCGGAATCCAGGAAATTTTAGCTGAGAATCACATCAGCAGTATCTTCATTGAAGCAGGGAACGATCAGCTTGAACTCCTCCCCACCTGCTGACTGCAAAGGGATTCCTCTAAGGTAGCCAGGACCCAGACTGCTGAAGAGCCACAGACAAAAATCAGCACCTCTTATTACCTGAACGTGAATACGGGGTCCAGCACAGGCTGGCACCACAACATCTGCTCTGAGAACCTTCTCCAGCCACTACGTGTTCGGTGCCAGCTGCCGCTTCCTACCTCCTGGCTGCTGGATCCCCCATTCCCCACACTGGTGACTCTGTAAGGAAGATGTGGGCCCTTTGGGAGCACTTACAATGCCTCAGAGGTGACCACCGTGTTGGTGAGAACCATGGAGGAAAGGGCCGTCCTTCCCAGAGCAGGCGAGCAACAGCAGTGGGCGCGAGGCGAGCAAAGCAGCCCGAGAACCACCACCAACATCACCGGATGCCCTCATTTATCAGAGGTACCCCCATTTATCAGAGGTGCCCCCATTTATCAGAGGTGCCCCCATTTATGAGAGATGCCCCCATTTATCAGAGATGCCCCCTCCGCATGCCAGAGGCTGCAGATGCTGCCCCTGGGCTGTGCAGGAACGGCCTGATGGGCTCCTTTCACACGAATTCCAACAGCCACAAGCACAAATATGTGCACCCAAGGAACGGAGCAGGGCAACCACCCGTTTTCGAGTTATCCTGGCGCACAACACTTCTCCAACTCCCTGTAGCACGGTGGTCGCTGGAACAGGTTGTGAATGAACGTGTTACACGGGGTCTGGAAGCTGCTACGAGCTCCAGAGCCTGCTGCCCGTCCCGCGGGAGCAATGCGCTCCGGTGCAGCGCTGCGACACGCCGCGGCGTCACGCAGAAGGAAAGGACGGAGCAGCCGGCACCCGGGCCCCTCTGCCAGGGCGGAAACCAGGATGATATCAGAAACATTCTCCTAACATTATCTAGATAACACATTCCTAAAAACAAGCCCATCACACACAGCGATCCCCTTAATTAGGGAAGAGGCGCGGGGTTTCGTAGGACTTGCTTTGAAATCTCAGGAGCAGCTCTAAAACCTGCTAGTACAAACAGGAGACACAGCCGGGGACAACCTCCCACTCAAAGACACACCTCGCTGGCGAGCTTCCACGGCGCCACATCGTCGCCTCCTTCACAAATCCCCGTAGAACGGCGGGAGGAGGCGGCCGATGCGGGCTCTGTTTTAACCTGGCGCTGTCTCACCTACGCTGCTCTTCAGGGCTGGGTTTCCACCTGTGCGTCGCAGCTCAGCCTCGCGCTCTCACAGTAACGCTCCTCGCCCCGAGGCCTGTCCGCGCTCCGAGGGACGCCCAAGGGCTGTGCCAGCCGAAGGAGCCGCTCTCCGGAGGCGCAGCCGGCACCTGGACACCAGCCCCGGGCTCTGCCCATCTCCCATGCAACCGGGCAGCCTGCCGCGGCGCCAGGAAGCTCCCTGGGCACGTTACCAGGCAGACTGACCACAGGGTGACAGTGACCATGGGGCGACAGTGACCATGGGGCGACAGTGACGGGGCAACCTGCAGTCCCGATCGGCCCTTCTTCCTAACTCTGCCCCACAAACAGGCAGGACGAGCGGAGGGCAACGGAGCCACTCGGGTCTGACCGCGAAAGGAAACCAAGGATCGGGAGCAGGGGTACGAGGAGCGGCCAGGAGGCAGAGCTCCGGTCCCCAGGAGGGCGGCTCGCGAGACAAGGCGGTGACAGCGGCACCAGGCGCGCGGCAGAGCCCGCAGCCACCTCTGCAGCACCTGCAGCCGCCTCTGCAGCACCTGCAACCACCTCCACAGTGCCTGCAGCCACCTCTGCAGCACCTGCAGCCGCCTCTGCAGCGCCTGCA